TCCGGCAATTCCGACGGCCAAATTCGTCGGACCAAGTATGAAACTTTATCTACTCTTCATGCTTTACCTATTTATGTGCTGGGTTTGAGTTGAGGTTTTGGAGATAGATTTCTAACCCCTGTTTATGCTGACGGTTTCGGCTTCATTCCGGCTAGTTTTTGGTCGTGGTCCAAGAACAAAAATCACTCCACTTGTTAGTCTGAACGTATTGATATAGGTATTGTAGGGTGTTTCGAGAATTTTTCGTCGCCAAAATTTTCTCATGACACCTACGCACTGCCGGCGCGTGTGGCGGCGTGTGAGCCATGGTATGGGGCTCACTATGTTTTAAAATATTCCTCATGTCGTCCTGGGTTCGATATGCTCAGACCATTGGATCGGCTCCATTTCCAAATATGTTGTTCTATGTACCTCTAGAATCGTGTAGGAACTTGCGGATCGAGAATCAGAGTTCCGAATACTCCGAATGAATGATTCCATCGTTAGGCGAAGCAATTGTCTTCCAATCGTGCGATCGGCTTAAATCCGATTGCTCGATCAAGACCAAACTTATAGGACGTGTTGAGTAGGCTTTGTTGAACCTGTAGGAACTTTTGGACTGGAAATTGGAGGTCGTGGGCCTGCAGGCCGGGTTGACCAATATGGGAAATTTGACCCCTCGGTTGACGATGAGTCTTCCGAGGTAGTTTCACCCTTCGAAAAGTATTAGAATGACCTAACAAATGAGTCTTGATTGTTATTTGAGTTATTTTGTTTATGTTGGGAGTACGAGATTATTTCATTGTTTTAATTATGGGGTCATCGGATGTTATATTGTTATTTGAAGTTTAGGTAATATTTGAAGTTGTGGAATATGTGATTATGGGATACTTGATTGATTGGTCGTGAAAGTGAGCCTTGGGACTCGGCTATGATTATTAGGAAATGAGTGGACATTTGTTTTTTTAAGTGTACTTCGTTTTTCAAATATGGAATTGCTTGCATAAAAGTGTTTTGATTGAAAATTGATTTAATTTGGGTTAATGAGGATATGGGATCTCTAAGGGTTATTATTTGTCATTATTGTTAAAGTATATGGATTGAGTGATATTGGGTTGTTTATGAAAGTCTATTGTTTTAATTCTGGAAATATAGTACTTCATGGAAATTATGTGTGAACAAGTTTTGATTATTATTTGAATTATTTTGGGGCTTGATGGGTTTACAGATTATGTTATGGGACTATCTGAAGGAAACATGCATCTAATGCTTATGAATTGAACTTTAGCCACAACATGTACAACAAAAACATTCTAAATGATGGATTCATTTTGTTTATACTAGTTCATCTAAACTTTTTTCATTTTAAACCAAGTATCTTAACCTAGTCTCTTTGAACACAAATAGAAAAAGGAAAAATGGAATAGATCCATTACCCTTGATGACCTTTTCTTGATTTCTCAATAATGAACACCTTTGTTGGAAAGACATTTTGTTTCTCTTGATTTTGACTCCTTCACCTTAAGGCTTCAAGATTGGAGTCCTTTACCTCACCACACCAAATGCTTCTATAGAGCTATTGAAAGATGAATACTTCTAAAGGTGCCAATTACAAGAGCCCTTCATCTTTTGTACATTTGGTTGAGGTGGAATCAGAAGATGAACAAGAGCAAGAGGAAATTGTGGTAGCTATGGCAGAACTAACTAAAATGAAAGGGCCTATAAGCTGCTAAGCTTTACTCAAGGCACCAAAGGATCAAAAACCACCACCCTTCACTGGATGTTTTATTCCAAACAAACAACCAGGAAACAAGGTTTATACCCTTGATTTATCAAAGTTAGGTGTTTTGTTTGATGAAATGATGTCTCAAAAGGCCACAGATACACCATCTGGACACAAGCTACCAAAATTAGAAGAATTGAAGGGGAGACAGTACTGCAAATGGCATAATTTTTAGAATCACACTACCAACAGTTGTGTTGTCTTCAAGGATGTTGTCCAAGAAGCATAACCTTAGGAAAATTGAAGATAGCAGAGAAAGCTCCTACTATTGATACAAATCCTTTTCCTCAACAAGGCTACCATGGGCTCTAACCCAAGTAGCTTTTAAAAATATTAAAAAATATTATATGTATTATAAGGTGATTTCATTTTATAAAAGATTAGTAGTCCACCCAAATTTAGCCTAGTAACCCATTGTCCACTAAAACTATAGGCCTATAATCATCTTATATTTATTTATTTTTTGCTCAGTTAAGAGCATCTCCAATGGAGATGTCAAATAATATGTATCAAAATTGGATTTGATGGTTGATAACTTTAGTCAATGGAATTAGGAACTAGCATGGTTTATATGATTTATTTTTTGTTATTTGCTAGGGAAGGTGAGTATTATATTGGGTTGCCTCAAAATTGTCTCCTACATAAATCGAACCCGGGTTCATTGTGGTGTCACCCCATGTGCCTGGTTTATATGATTTAATATATATAATTTTGTTTCTAGAAAAAACTATAGAAATTGTAATCTAATAACTTTAGCTAGCCCATCCGTTGAAAAATTCTTGGTTCCGTCCTTGACTATAAATATGATAGTACATACAAATAATAAATTTATCATATCACTTGGAACTTCTGGTTCTATAATTATTATATTTGTTCACTATTTAAACTTCAGGTTTAAAATATTATGATATGAACTTCTAGTTCCAATATCTGAATTCAACAAAATTCTTTTTTATTCAAGTACATGGTGCTAAAGTTATTAACAACAAATTGAACATATAACTGTACATTGGGATTTACAGCACAAATGAGATTACACAACTTATGAGTATCTCAAAATTTAGAAACATAATAAAAGTAAAAGAACCAACTACTACTTGATAATATCTCCATGGTTCATCTTAACTTTAATCATACTTTTATTTTGATGAACCATAAAATTATATATGTACACACACATATATAAAAGAATCTTCAGACCTTTTTAGATGTATAGAAATTGTAACTTCAGGCTCATTCCTTTACATCCGTAGAATTTAGAATCTTCAAGCTCTTCATTAAATATATAGAGGATCAAGATCTTCAAGTCTTAATTCTCCATTCTTTTCTTTCATCCCCATCATAACAAGCATGGGGAGTATAACCAAGATCATCTTTTCCTACAAATGAATCACAACAAAATATATGTTGCAAATACAAAGCCGTAACATGATGGTAACTAACTTCGTATATATATAAATATATATACACACACAATGTAACATATTACATTATTTATATAAAACCGGAAAACATATCTAAAAATATTATATATATTTAGATCCATGAGTCATAATGAACTTGTAAAATAAATTCACAAAATAAATATTGCTGGTATGGACGATAAACTGCACCACACTTTAAATAATAAAGTAAATATATGATAAAATAAATGTGCTTGTATGAGTACTAATTCTACTCCATACTTTAAATAAAAATAAATGTGAAGATAAAACCACCACCGAATATATATATATATATATGGGTACGTTATATTATCATATATTATATCACACACACACATATATATATATATATATATTGTTTTATATCAAATCAAATTAAATTAAATTTTCATATCAATATAATTATATTGAGATTCCTGCATAATTGGTTAGTTGTGATCTAAAATATTATAAATTTAAATTTCTTTGATAGCATCCATATGCATTCTTGTCATCAACTTTGGAGGATCCTTGTGCAAAGAAAGCATTAGCCACATAAACTTCATAAGATATCATATAGATGTTAGTTAAACAAATGAATTGAAATACAACAAAAATTATAAAGGAAGAGGGATAACAAGATTGAAACTTACAAGAACCTCGGTTGGTGAGAGACTAGTGCTGACAACGTGTTATAAAACTAAGGAAATTATGGAGAGAATTTAGAGGAAGAGAAACAATAATTATCAAGAGCTCAACCTTAAGCTTTTTCTCTTCTATTCTTGTGTGTTTTTCATTCATTTTTTATGTCTATTTATAGGCATAAGAAATACATAATTTACTACCATAAGTGGTCATAATAATTATTATGGAATTGTGGGTAAAAGATATATGATTTACAATTTCATATACATCCATAATTATTATTATGGATGCCCAGCATCTCTCTTTTACCCACAATTCCTACCACTATATTTGTACCCCCCATGATGTCATTGTAACCTACCTTATGACTCACCAATGATGTATATGACCACTTATGGTAGTAAACTATGTATTTCGTATGCCTATAAATAGGCACCAAAGATGAATGAAAAACACACAAGAATAGAAGAGAAGAAGCTTAAGGTTGAGCTCTTGATAATTATTGTTTCTCCTTTCTTTTTGACAGTCAGCATCTCACTTTCTCAAGTAGACCACATCTCCACCACTGCTTCAGATCCCTGGTAAGTATCTCTTTGGTAGAAGTATCTCTTTAACCTTTTCTTCTCTTGTTGGTGACAGAAACAGTGTGAGTTTGTCATTAGTTTCGATCGGTTGGTATTTTAGTTTGGTGGTGAAGTTCAAGAACTCTCAAGAAAGAAAGACCGAAACAGGGGGATTTGATTGGAGTACTCAGCTTGTATTTAGGAGATATTCGTGCTGATAACGTGTTATAAAACTAGGAAAATTTAGAGAGAATTTAGAGGAAGAGAATAACCATAGAATTGCCCTTCTAAAGCTTATCTTTTCATTATCTTAATGCCTTGTATTTATAGGCATAGGAAATACACCATTCACCACTATTTTACAAATACATTGTAGGGTGAGTCATACATTAGGTATGGTGGGGTGAGTCATTTATTAGGTATTAGGTATTATGGTGACATGCACTAATCCATACTTTACATGGATTTACAACAAAACGTAAAAGAACATACAGATTACCCATTTCTTGGTAAACAGTACAAATCGAATTTACTCTGGGCTTTCTTTGGTACACTACGAATCTTATTCAATCTCCCCCCCTTTTTTTTTTTTTTTTTTCTCTCTTTCCCATATATCATTGTAAGTTGTAACAATACAAACCAAGCAGACAACCAAAGCCATCCACAGAAGCTCAAACAAACTTGAGAAGCCGTCTGTCATAATCTACGAGTAGTCTAAAATCTAACTGCTGTTACCGTCAGTTACTTTGACTGAAGGAATAAATTGGTTGCACTAGCGTCTATGGTCTACCATCTCCTAAAGGCTAAAACCAAACTAGTTCTCTTCTGTCTACACAATTTCAATTGCAAATTCAATAATCATTGTTAGTCTCGGCTAAATGAACTAATATCAAACCATATCACCCTGCCTCATACATGATGGAAAATGCAGGAGCTTCTACAATCAAATCTAAACGTCGCCAGCCTCAGGTGTTGCAACTGTCGTCAAATGCTTTACATGTTAGAAACAGAACACTTAAAAAAATAATTAGAAACCTGCAAGGTGGCAAAAATTACACATGAGAATCTACAACAAATGTCCTACCTTTTATAATGAAAGCAGGTGGAAATTCTTTTCTATTTTTTTAAAAATTCTTGTAGGAAGATAGTTATGTTTAAGGCATGAGTTATACCACTTCGGCTTCCTGTCAGTTCATTGCTCTTTCTGATGGTTCTTGATATACATGGCTTCGCTTCATCACATAGGAAAGCACTTTGCCTTGCGACGCATTTCCTATGAAATTTTACTTCAATGTCGTTGAAAATCTTGAGTTGAAGATGCTTCAACCCATTGAAGTACCCATCTTGAAATGCCAAAAGTATTCAATTGCATGTGATCTGCAAATGTAGTTCATTGGTAAGTCCATCACAAACTTTATATTACCAATGAAAAAAAAAAGTTCACTAATATCATAAACTCATCTAAACCATTACAATTTTATTTCTGCAAGAGACACAAACCTTACTAATAAAAGTATATGAAAATACAAGATGGACGAAAAGTGCATCAATAACCTTTTTTTTTTGGTCGAAAAGTGCATCAATAACTAATTTGACAACCTCAAACCCATAAACATTATGCACTCAAGAGTCAATATAATACCCCCTCCCCAAAGAAAAACAAAACAAAACAAAACAATCAGAGTTACACTAGAAGGGACACCTTAAAATGGGTTTGTCAAAGAAAGCCCAAAAAGAAGCTAGAAGTTTAATCCTATCACCAAGTAACTCCCTCCTCTAGCACTGAAAGACCTTCATAAGGGCAGGGAGGTTAAGGGCACTCTTGAGATATCACTGACATACTGATAGCATCAAGCAAACTATCACAATTTAATACCAGACTACTGAGCTCAAAGTGACATAAGATTTACAAGAGACAATATATATTCGTTTTACGGTTGCTATTGCATCAACAAACCCAGCACAATTATTACGGCCAAAGTTTGCTATGCACATATGTACCTCACTTAAAGGCGGGACTGTGTTAGGTACTTCCTCAGAAAAGTCAACTCCAGCATCATTTTGAGCTTCAGCCAACTGGGACACATCAGTTTTCACAACTACCAGATGGGGGCAGACAGGAGGGTTCCTTTGACGACACATGTGGCACCTAAATCCAATAAGCTTATCAATGTTCTCTGAACTCAGTCCAAAAGCCTCAGCATGGAACCACACTGCATGTAAAAAGGGAAATTAATAGATGTTAAAAAAAAAAATAAGTAAATTGCGGAGGAATTAGATCAAGCTGTGGAGATTAATAGCATGATTCATGACATACTAAATCAGAGAGCCAATATTCAACTAAAACTTTCTGAACCAGCTCAAACCAAAATTACATTTGAAGTGCACTTACATAACTAATCATTACCTCTGCATATTTCACAAGAAATATAATTTAAAGCAGACGTATAACTTGCTTCACAACAAAGGGGGCATTTGAGTTGATCAAGAATGACAGGCGAACATCCAGAATGCGCAAGGAGTTTTTTATCCCTAAAAAGCATAGCACGTTCATCATTTGGCTTTCTAGACAACAGAAGACCATTAAGCCAGTAACTGTGACAAACTTGTGTTCTCTTCTTCTGCCAAGAAGTAACTCTCTTTGGTTTCTTACATGTCCTCGTATTGGACTTGCTTTTTTTCCCTTTCTTGCGTTTGCTACGCTTTTTGTTTTGCAATGGCAAGCATTTAACTTTCCTAGGAGAACGACGTAGAGGTACAGATGCTGGAATTTTTTTGCTATTTTTCAATCTTAGTTGCTGTCCTCCAGCTAAAGCTTTTTTGTTGTTTTTCAAACGCAACGATCTGCGTTCTGTTTGAGAATTCTTACATTTCTGTGACTGTACTTTCCCTCCTTTTGTTTCAACTTTCCTTCTTTTTGTGTCAATCTTCGTACACACCCCATTCTGGCATCGGTGGCATGTATATTTACACCGAGCAACAACGGCCCCAGCAGATTTCCTGGCATGCCTTTTGTGGAAAAAACCTGAAATTTATACCTTAATAATCAGATATCAAGATTAAGACAAAATGCAAATCAATGACAGGCATCAAGCATGAAGTTGTAGTTGCATCATTTTTCATTAAAAAGTAACAAAAAATGAAAATAGGTAATGCATCTTAATTACCTGTACACCAAAAGAAAGACAAGTAAATAACAAAGAGTACATAAAAGATTTGCTACTTCAATATAGTTGCCAAAATGCAATGACAAGAATGTGGAAAGAAATGTCCCACAGAAAAGAGCTCAGACTATAAATTTCAGAACATTAACGGGAGCATGATAGCCAAATAAAGTTGGATAACTAGCCATCAGAAGCCCTAGTGTTATAATTAGTTCCCATTGTTGGTACATTGTTACTTTCAAGCACAAAAGGTAACTACAGATCCCATAAGTGGTACATAAATTAAGAGACTGGGATTATAAGAAATTTAAGTATGATGTTGATGATTTAATTAAATTACAAAATACATTAAAAAAACCTTGCGAGACACAAAATACTAATACCATGTGTTACCCCAGCACAGAGAGAGAGAGAGAGAGAGAGAGAGAGAGAGAGAGAGAGAGACAGACAGACAGGCAGACAGACAGACAGAGACAGAGACAGAGACAGAGAGACACAGAGAGAGAATACCACACCTTTGCAGTACTGGCAGCTCACAGCTTCCCTGTTATATTCAAAACAAAAATCTATAAGATGAAAATTAGAAAACAGAAGTAATACAACATTTAACATGTAACATGAAAGAAAATCTCAAATAATTGGTCTTTTGACAAGACTAGGAAAGCACAACAGCCGATCATCTATTCATATAAAAGAACCTACTCAAACATCACAAGTGGTGTTCCAAATCCCTCCTAATTTTTCTTAACAGGGACCTCAATGTTTTGACAGAACAACCTATGCAAGAGGCTAACGAAACTCCATTAGTCCAATTACTATTTCTATACTCCAGATATCAGGAACAATAATTTATAGCACTAACTCCAGAAATTAGTAGTTTCAGAATGAAGGCATCCCCACACTTTACTTTAATGTGAAGAAAACAAGCTATCATGGGAAATACAAACAGTGACAAGCCGAACAAAAATATAAGATAACAACTACATGCAAGAGAACAAATTTGTACTACCTCATCAGGACATCTTTGTTGCAATGTCCACATTTATGATACTCAGATCTTTCTGCTTTTGAAAACAAATACATAAATCCCTTTTTTTCCCTGGGCCTCTTTCCTACTCTACCGACCTCAATAACTTTACCAGACTTCACATCACTGGACTTGCGGGCAATTCTTCTCTCCTCAAAGCTTTTCAAAAGATGCAAAGGAAGATATGATTCATCCAGCCAATACTTTTTCCTCTCACTAGACGGTTCTTCAAGCACAGAACCATGTTTCTTGACAATGTCAGGAATACCTCTTCTCTTGCCAAAATCAAGAAGATAGTTAACCACTTTCCCTTCAGAACACTTCCTGCGGACAATAACTTTCTTGAACAGCTTGATTGATTTTCTAGATTCTTTGTCCAACGTAGGGAGAGGGTATGAATTCTCAATATCATTCCATCTAATGTTCAAATCAAGTTCTCTAACCTGAAACCATAGCAAATTTTTTACTGACAAAAAGTTAGATAGTTCCTACTCAGAAGCATGAATTATACAGGTGAGCAAACAATGTTTTTGGACTCAAAACCACTCAGGTTGGGGGACAATTAACAAACAAAAACAAAATCATACCAGAGCAAGCAAGAAAAGGGCACTGAAAACACCTGAACATCACCATTTAAAGGAAACAGGTATGGAAAATATACCTGCAAAGCAAGCTGTTCTGCACTAGTCGATGCCTCAACAGCAGCTTGCCAAGAAACAGATTTGCTTCTCTTCGCATATTCTGAATTTTCAGGATATAATATACCCAGTATCTTTGAACACCCAGCTGCAGAATTTAAGAACTTCAAATGAATTCAGAATAATAATTCAGTTGATTTAACTGTAAAAAATATCCACCACGCAAAATTACACATAAGCAATAGAAAAGAATTAGCAGACCTTGTCTGGCAGCCTTGGATGTCAAGGAACGAGGCAAAACCTTCCAACTGAACACCTGACGAGAAAGCCTACCACCCCTCCACCAAAACATTCCTAATCCACTGGCAGCATTTGAAGTGGGGGTGGGCTCAATATCTGAACACTTGGGCCTCTTTCTGTTAATAACATTCTTTGAGTATGCACGTAAAGAAGTCACAACATGAGAAGCTGAACCCATGGTAACAACAGAATCTACATGTTTCAACCAGTCTGCTGAAAGTGCAAGATGATGCAGATTTGCCTCTAACTGTGTCATGCATACAACCAAAAATAAGAGGGCATCAAAGAACAAAATCAAGATAGCCACGCAGCCTTTTACAATAAATACACATACACTAACAAACACATTTTTTTCTTTTGTCTTTTTGTTTTTGAAGTGCACAAAGATATTTGAATTTTTATACATTATACAAATTTGTGCACACCGTACATGAATATAATGCACTATAATGCACTAGGGTTTCCAAATGATGGCTAATGAGTATTTTGAGAAGAAAACAAAACCAGAAAAGCAGGGAGAAGTGATATATAAACTGTAAAGTGAACCAAACTAACGTGCAAGAACATAAATATATCAAAATTTTGACATCAATGCCAGCCTAATTGTTTAGCAGATGCAAATTAACAAATGTGCAAGAACAAAAGTATATATAAAAAAAAATTATATCAACACCGGACTAATTATTTAGCAGATGCAAATTAACAAACTCTATACTAGACACAGATTGAAATAAATAAACAAATCCTTACCATGAGCAGTAAATGTTTAATAGAGGCAAGATCAGATGCCTTAAGAAGACTTTTACGCCACAGTTCCCTGTGGTGGGGATTCAACAATGGGCCCAGAAGAAGTCCCTGCAGGCGATCATGAATGGATAGGATTTGACACCTGACATCATTAAGATGGCCGTCCTTGTTCCTTTTGGATTGAAAGCCAGTTATATTACTATTAGAAACATCCTGAACAGGCCCCATACTCATGATAAACAAGCAATCCCCATAATCAGCAGGAGCTTTGCAAGAGAAGCACCAACCACATTTCTCTTTCTGTGCATCTAGATTAAGGTTCCCAACATTCGGCCCGGAAAATTTGGAAGATTTTTTTAAAATGGTCTTCATCTGTGCTGATATTATTTCCTCTTCTGTTATTATTGTATCTTCCTTAATTTTGTCAGATGATTTACGCGTCAACTCCTCTGCAACAGACGAAGCAATTTGGCCAAAACTGTAACAGTTCATGTAACCAATCCCACAATGTACTTCTGAAGTGTCCCTTTTTCTAGTGGTTATAGAAGTAGATGTCAAAGAACAATCTTCAGGGTAAAGTTTCCCCACCAAATCTGATTGATTTAAAAAATCAGCAGGTCTATCTGAATCGTACTGAATGACTGACCTTCTTTGCACTTGTATGGTTTCAGCTGATCCTTCAGAAGTTATATTTGGACTTGCTGTCACAGTCATTGAATCTAACAAGTTAATAGACTTGGAAACATCCGAGCCAATATTACAAGAATTCTCTTGCAGTTTTCTAGCCTCATAAGTCTCATTCTTAACAGCACATGTTTCTGGAAATGCCGATGGGTCTTGGGGTACTGAGCAGCCAATGTTACTATTTGCTCCATTAAAGCTAACAGGAATATCCCAGTGCTTATAGATTTCCACTAATATCCCACCATAAAAAAAATCTGAAGACCTGAGCACTTTGATAACTTTAATCAGATCATCTCTGTGGTAGTAGTTGAATTTGGATTCAGTGTCACAAGAATCTGATCTGCAAGTGCAAGATCCATAAACAGATGAAGCCAAACACATACGATGAAAGGAAGCAGTAAATATTCTAGAGAAATAAAATTACAACATTTTACATTTTCATTTAATCCACAATAGTTACAATCTCACGAAAACAAAAATGAAAATACTAATTCACATAAGAATCTTAGAATAGCTAGATCACTAGGCTTCCAAGTATATTCAAACCATAACAAAACTAACAAGCAAAACTATCCACCAACAAACAACAACCAGAATACAATGGCTGACTTTAACCAAACTCAGCAAGATTCTTTAGAAAATTATCTTCCCTAGCACTTTTGATAGGATTATCTTCAGTAACACCTAATGGTTAAAGTTCTATCTAAACCCTTTGCTAAATAACTTTGATGACAGGATTCATGTTTTCCGTGACCATTTCAACATAGAAGTAGATTACATCCTCTCTGTTATAAATTGGAATCCATAAGTGTTTCCTGAATGTGGAAGTGGCTTGTTTGAGGCACTAGGAGGTGCCTGTACACTCAGATTTTAGCAATAAAAGTGGAAACCGCATCTCAACCTTTACTTATAGCCTGTCAATGTCATCCAGGGATGGAGAAAAGCTAACATCACTGCCTACTGGAGAACAAGACTTCCTCACTACTCTTTTATTAGAAACGCAAACTTTTACCAAAAACAAATAAAAATTACAAGGATGGACAAGATATCCATCAAAATCAGTCTACAGATGCTCTAAAAGAATCATATTAAACCCAATTGTCCTTTTTCTTGGCCCGAATACCCAAGTAGTTTTCTGCCAGAAAGAAATAGCACTTCTGAGGTCAGACCCTCATCACTGCAAGCAAATGCAACAACCTAGCCTCACTACTTACTCTCAATTAGATTGAAACACCTCACTATAATAGCTGGATGCTGCAATGTCTAAAATAAAAGAAGAAAGGCAGCGCTTGCTTGTATGTTGCGTGGGATCATACATCTTCAGTTAGTACTCATGCATCTTGAGATAAATATGGCACAACCACCAGAACATTCACGCTTCATGATATATTGGGTTTTCCAAGATATGTCAATGGAACTGAGTATAAATTCATGTTTAGTACTCATGAAAAATGATTTTAAGCACGATGCTTGGGTAGTTCACAAATAAGAATTTAGTGACCTATGAATAAGAAGAAAGAAATAGCCTTTTGTACTAAGTAAGAGCAGCAGAGTGATATTATACCAAGCCATGTAAAGAGGAAAAAGGATCAACTTACACTAAAAGGTAACCACAGCTTTTAAAGAATAGCCGACCACGAGGATCAATTCCTAATAACTCTGCCCCTCGAAGTGACTTTTGTGGTTTCATCCAAGGTTTATGCCTGTCAATTGAACACTCAGGGCAATACCAGTCACCCTCCGGCAAAAGATCATTAGCAACTCCAACACATTTTGAGTGGTACGCAGCAGGACAACCATCACAGCATATTAAACTCCCATCCATCTTACAGAGGCAGCATTCATCACTATTCCAGTCAGTGATGTCATCAACAACCTCATCATTCAAATAAGTGATACCAGCAATATCCACTGGAGCCTTCCTTTTCTTGCAAACCTCATAGCTTACATTTCGATCAAAAACAATGTCAGGCTCAGCTGCCAAAGACCTTCTATTAATCTCCGACCTTATGGCTTCCACTTCTATTAAATCATCACATAGACACTTCAGTATCTCAACCTTTACAGAAGCAGGTTGTTCATAGTAGTCAGTTTTGAATATCTTGAAACAACTGAGATCGAAACCAGGTTTCAGTCCCGAACCATGGATCAGAAAATACTCAATCATAAAAATTGGCCATGTAATCAAGTCGAGCAAATCCCAATTGAGACTCCTACATCGAACATTAAAACAGAATATTAAGGACCAATAAAGGAAGTTTCAAATAACCAAGGATGACATCATATCAAAATAGTAATTGGGGGAGAAAGAATATACCTCAGACAATCAGAAGCAGATTCGGAACCATCATTTGCAAGCCACTCCAAATGTTTTCTCAGTGTTTGCAAAATAGAAAGATGAACATAATCGAATAATGAGCTTGGTGACTTGCACTTCAGTGCGGCCACAAAATCCTCCAACTTGAAGGGGCTCAGAAATAATAGAGTGCTAAATGATCTTAAACAAGCATAAATTGAAAAAAGGTCAAGTATGGGAATTCCATCTAGATTTAAATGTTCTGATGAAGGAGGTAACTCCAGCCCCTGAGGAAGAACACTAGGCTTTTCAGTCTCTTCACAGCCAGAAATCACTGGTTTTTCCTCTGTTATTGCACTAACTGCAGAAGAGGACAATGGATCACTGACAGACAATGATGTGATGGAGTTATGATTTTGAGCAGACCCTCTGCGAGTACTTCTCCTCAAAACTGTCTCTGTAGTAGTAGATTTCAAATTATCCAGTAGTTTTCTTCTCTTTCTACGGCTACTTCTTTGAATGTTTGGACCTCCTGAATCGCCATGAATCACTGGAGTGCGAGCTTCGGAAAGACTATCTTTGACCAGTACTTCCACCAAACCACAATCCTTCATGCAGCTAGTATCTAAAACCCCAAGAGAATTGTCAGCCTTCAAATCTCCGCTGGAACAACTATTTTGATTATTAAGTCGTTCAGCAGCAGCACAATCAAAGAGATCGCCAACACTTGTCATGGGATTATCTTCAGTAATATCAATATACACTTCCTTCCAGGTCTCATTGGCATTACCATCTTCGATAACCTTTTCTTCAGTATCTCCGCTCCTCTCTTTCTTTTGATTTTCTTCAATCATCTCAAACTTGGGACAAACCTTGAATTTCTCTTCACAGTCACCCTCTGTATCCTTAAAATCCTCATCAACCTCTAAATTCAGATCAAAATAGCAACCCCTCCTCTGGGTTCCACGGGTTACCGCAGTTGAACCGTCCAAACTATCCCCATTCAGATTCTGAGCAAAGTCACCACTCGCATCCAAATTCAAATCAATACAATCTCTTTTTTCTGAAATTTCCTCCTTACCAACATTAAGATCAACATTTAAGTCACATTCACCATTCAAATTAAACTCAGCATTCAAATCAATCTCATCTTTCAAATTATCAACTCTATTCCCATTCCAATTAACATTTAACACACTTTGCTGTTCTAGGGTTTTATCAAGCCCCTTACTACAATTAATATTGTCATTCAAATTCCCATCAACCTGCACGCTTTCCCTCAAATTCCCTCCAAATGCTTGTCCCATTTCAAGTCTTCCCTCAGACCCGTCACTCAAATCACAATTTTTATTCAAATCCCCACCAAACCCAGAATCATTTCCAAAGATTACTTCAGCAGCATTACCTGAATTACCTCGAATTTCTCGCTTCCTCTCCACTCGACGTCGTTTCTTGGGCTTTCGGCCTAGGCGGCTCGGCTTGACTTCTTCCTCAACAAGGTTTGGCTCACCGCCACCAAGGAGCAAAGAGACCTCAGCGAAGTTCAATTCCTCCGAATCCCCATCTTCATAAACGACCTCGAACAACCCAGATGAGGGGGAGTACGATTTCACTGTTCCCGTGAAACATCCAAAACCTTTGGACTCTTTCCTCACAGTTCTGCCCACGAACTCCATTTTCTATGATCCACAGCCCAAACCAACTTAAAGAATATGAAGAAAACCCTCAGCTTCTCTCTCTTTCTCTCTCTAGTTGCCTTTTGGGTCGTTGTAAGAGAGAGAGAGAGAGACAGAGAGAGAGAGAGAAAGAGAGAGAAAGAGAGAGGATAGACGGAAATTGTGAAACTTTCTCTCTCTAGAAATGCCTTCAACGTGCATAGAGAGAGAGAATATTGGTTTGGGTCTTTTTCTTCTCTCTTTCTCTCTCTAGTAATTAGCAAACTGCTTGTTTTGACTCCGAAGAGAGAGAAGAGGGGTGTCCGTAAGCGAGAGAGAAGAAATGCAAGTTGGCTATTATCTTTCTCTCACCGCTGACTGAACCACTCTCTAGAAATGCAGTTTCAACATTTGCCTCAGCGCGAGAAGAAAGCAGGTTGGTGAGCAACATCTGTAGTACTTTATTTTGTTATTCACTTTATGGTCCAATCAAATTTCAAGAATACGAAAATGCTTTATAATGTCAGACAATTTCGAGTGAAAAACAAAAGATTGCATTCATACTCGAGGCTTAAAGTCATCAAACAAATGCGGAAGCCTCCACACATAACCACACACAACCTAACAAATTTCAGCAAAAAAATTGCATCTTAGCACACCAAACTACAATATTTTCATTCTCACGAGTATAAAATACAAGTAGAGACTACAAACAGACAGTAAACTCATAGTTGATTACACTTAGTACAAATCACAAAACAAGTAAATAAAAGCCAATCAAACACCACGTTACAAATCACAAAACAAGTAAATAAAAACCAACCAAACACCATGTCATCACTAAGACGACCAAGCAGCCACCAAACTCAGTCAAGACAGAAGGGTTGGAGGGGATGGGCAAGTAATAGAGGTGGAGAGGGAGGGGAAGGTCTTGGAGGGTAAGGATGTGAGAGATGGGAGCAGGAGATGGCTGGAGGCCACCAACCCCCAAGGGGGGCAGTAGTTGAAACTTCTCTCTTAGGGTTTTCTCTTGAGCATTATTAGAGAATTTTAATCATCATTAATATTGAGACACAAATTTATTATTATTATTTTGGTAAGAAAAACAAAAGACACTAACTTATTACATCAACTTCGAGATATAAATATGATAATTTCTTTGTTGTGAATCAATAATGTCCAAAATGGCTTCATAATGAAAATAAATAAAACATTACAGTATGAGTTGGTGTCCAAAAGTTAATGTGATAAGTTGGTGTCCATAGTATTACTCTTTTACAATAATTACCTCAAAATAGATTTATAACTTTCACTCAAAACAAAATTAGATTTATAACTTACTTGATGCGAAATGCCCTTCTTAAATAGGTTGTAACTGTAGGGGCTTTTTCGTTTCGGCAGTTACTGATGGGCTTAGGCTGTTGTAAAGAGCCAAATGTATGAAATTGCCCCTTGAGTCTAAGTTTAAGTATCAGACCCCAAGAGTACTTCGAAAGGGTCGCTAAGCCTTAGGAAGCACCTTGGTCTCCTTCACCAATGAAACCAACAGTTGCTTATAGATAAATATTATGGCTTGGCATGAGAAGTTTGTGACACGGGAGCTGAGCATTCGTGAGTTTAGCATGAGAGAGAGAATGCTTCGGTTTCCTATGAGAAACAAGGGTTTTAAGGCAAGGGGGAAGGGATTCTAAGAGGGTTCGTTGAAGAGAGAGATGGGGGAATAACAATGGGTGTGTTGAGTAGTTTACGGCAGCTTGACGAAAGCTCTGTCAAGCTCTGGAAAGATTTACCAGAAGAGAAAATTGGAGAAGATAGAGAAATGGGGCTAGAAATTGCAAAGGTTTCAGGGATGAGAGATGAAGCTTGCTCTCTAGATGTGGGTTGCTTGCCTTTATTGAGTTGTTTTGTTGGGTAGAAGGTGCCTCCCTTTTATAGGCGTTGGAAGCTCCTTTTTCCCAAGAAAACCCTAGTTGGTTCTCTCCAATTTTGCTAAGTCTTCTCCTCTATTTCTCTTATCTTCCTTTGATTCAACCTCTTTTGTGAAACCTTCCTCTATCCAAACACACAAAGACAAGATTTTTGGGAACTCTAAGGCCTTCCCGAAGCTGCTTTAGTGTTAAACTCCTATTTTTGGCTACTACCTCACTTTCTTCCCTCCCTTATTTCATGGCAAGAGCTGGTATGAGAAATGAGTGGGTAATGGCATTGGTCTAAAGGGTGTTTTACTTAAGTATCCTTTGGTTTTTTGGATGGCTTGTATTGGGATTTGTCTTTGGCCATGTGCTGGAGATTCCCAGCAGCCTGCACATAGGCAACCTTTGGCTTTTGTTGTTGGTTTGGTCTCCAGCCATGTGCTGGAGACTTTCAAATATTTTATAGGTCATTTGGGCCATTCTAAGGTGATGAGGGGAATGAGCTAATTTCCTAAAGTATTGGGCTATTTTCTCTCCTTTATGCTTACCCACATATTTGGGCTTAAGAAATGGGCTTGAGTTTCGGGGCTCCCAAGCAGCCCAAAACTTCCATTTCTTGGCTCATCTATGGGTCTCATGAAAACTCGTAACTATCCATACCACACCCCACTTAACAAGCCTCAGGCATTCGTTTGGCTTGGGCCTACTTAAGCTTGTAGCATGTCGTGTTGCTTATTTGCTTGGCATGGCAAGTGTGCAAGCGTATATGACGAACTTTTGCGTACCCAAGTTGGGTTTCTTCCCAAGTTAGGTGTCGCTAGAAATATATTTGGGCCTAGCTTTGGATTTTTTGGGCCTCAATAGTAACTTCTACCAAACAACACTCTATAACCGTTTTCACTTTGAGTGGGGAGGAAATCATTGTTCTTCCTCCCCTCTCCCATTCTTCGTTGCTCCCTTCTCCTTTTCCCCCCAAATTTCAAAGGCAGAAGGTTTCCCCTAGTTGTCTTCATTTTATAATGATTTTGCTCTACTCATCACAGGCAGATGCTTCTCGGCATCGATCTCCACTTGCGTTTCTCTGTTGGATCTCTACCACCATCCTTTTTACGGTTTCTTCATGTTTGGAATAAGTCACAGAGACTCTTTGAGTTTTCTATATAGTTTTTACCTCTCCTTTTGTAAGAGTTTTTCTCCTCTCATTTGTGAGAGCTTTCCACCACTCTTTTGTGAGAACTTTCCACCTCTTCTTTGTGAGAGCTTTCCACCTCTCCTTTGTAAGAGTTTTGTTTGTATTGTTATGGCTTGGTTTTTTCAAGTTTTATCTATTTTTGGTCACTACAAAAAAAAAGGGTATTTACGGCGTGCGCTGCATGCCGTAAATGACAATTCACGGCGTGTGGCTGCGTGCCACGAAAGGCCAAGCCATAAAAAGCCTTTTTCTTTTACGGCGTACATTCGCTTGCCGCAAGCATTAATAAGGCCCACCATGATTGAGTTCTTGTAACAGGTTTGGACAACTATTTACGGTGCATTTTGCACGCCTTAGTTGGTATACATTACACATCTCTTTAGGCACGCCATAAAAGCTTTACTTGATACATATCGGCACATTTTTCACGCCTTAATTGGTATACATTACACATCTCTTTAAGCACGCCATAAAAGCTTTATTTCATACTTATTAACGACGCATTTTTCACGCCCTGTCTGTGTGTGTGTTTTATTTATTTATTTATAAATATAATCCAATTTCCTGATTATTCCAATTCAGTTTGACAAAATATTTTTTCACTATCAACCCTGTGGCATTTGAGTTTAACAAAGAGATAATTAAATGAGATATAAAGAAACTTGTTGATGCTCTTTTTCGGAGAGGGTCAACTTAGAGAAAAGGAGATTTGCCTTCAGCAGGGAAAGGGCCTGGACCTTCAATAAAGGCTAGCCAGCAGAAGACAAAATAGGAGAAGCAGTCGTTAAGCTTCGGACACTGGTGTGGTGCTGGCCGAAGGCTCTCCGATGCTTAAGTCAGCTAAGAGGGGTAACTTTAGCAGAGTAATAGTAAAAGGTAAGGAAGTAGTTACCCTTTTTACTAGGGTACTGTTCCCTATTTATAGGGAAGTGAAAGTGGGAGGTTTGTGTAGATTTCCGATGTGGGACTTTGTGCAAGTCGCTGTGGTGGTGACACGTGTCATGGAGATTAGGTTTAGAAATTGGAACCTTCAGCAGTCGGGAGTTTCGGCAGGTGCTTGGCACCTTGGAAGAGTGTCTTCCTTTGGCAGGGGAGAAGGCGTGTCTGCCATGGTGCTAGTTGTTTTGAGGCTAGATATGCTCGGTTGATTATGGTGTAAATAGTAGTCCCTCAAGTTTGCGGTCAAGAAGTAACTTCTAGGTTGGGAACTTGTGAGCTTTTTGTGTAATCATGACCCAGCATTCCAGGTTCAGTGGGAGCCGTAGGGCAGTCCTTAGTCCCCCAAGTTAGCAAGCTAGAAGTTGCGCTAATACTTGGTAGGTATGATAAAAGCTGTGTTAGCCTCTAGAATATTTGGTAGCTGGGTACCTTTGAAAGAAAAGTAGACTTGGGTCATGAAGCTTCAACAAGTGTTTTGGGGAGCATATGATGAGCCTTGTATTTCTTTTTGCATGGCCCTTGCCGTTCGGCTAGGTTGCAAATTTTTTTTTTTTTGTTTTTTTTTGTTTTCAATGGCCATGTGGCATGGGCTTTTAAAGAACAAGAGCCCAAGAGAAAGGCCTTTGGTTTGGCTTAGGCAAAGGGCCTGGCGAAATTGAGTAGTGGAGCTGGGTCAAGTATTGGGATGACTTAGCAAGTAGTGGAGCTTGGTCTTAATTGAGAGTAGTTAGGGTTGGATTTTTTAAGAGAGTACATAAATAGGTTTCAAAAGCTCTTGTCGTTCGGCAAGCAATAGCTAAGACCATTTGAAGAAAAAACAACGAAAAACAAAAATGGAGATGAGAGTGTTCAGACCTTCGGCAGGGAGTTGAAGTGGAGCTGGGTCTTTCGGGACAACTTAGTTCGTGAGCCTTGGTTCTTCTTGGAGTGTCGGCAAGGCATCCACGAGCTCGGAATTGGACTTTCACAGCCCTTATCGTTCGGCAAGGGTAGGTTAGGGGCTTTCGTGAGGCCACGGTGGGTGTGCACGGCTTCGGCAAGGTTGAGTTCCAAGGAGAGGTCGAGTTTGCCATTGATTCCGGTGAGATTTGAGCAGATGTCGCAAACTTCTTGTGTTGGCACAACCATTGCTGTTCGGTAAGTTCCGATATTTCGAGCGTTTTGGGGCTGGGTTCTTGCTGTTCGATAAGTGTAGAGGGGAAGAGAAGAAAACTGGAGCTGGGTCCGAGGCATCGGTGTTGTGGTTTCGTGGGTTTCCCCATTTGACAAGTACCTAGGT